AAATCCGGGAAGGGAGCAGGGCACCTTCAAATAACCCATATTCCACGGCAAACCACACCACCTCCGAGGGATCCCACGGAGTGGGACAAATCCCGGCAAGCGACCACCTACCTAGAAATAGTAATGCCAGAGGGGAGGATCCCAGAGGCAACAAACGAGATGGGAAACAAGGGGAAGGTGGGAAGAGGGGAGGAAAGGAAAAAAAAAAGTGATAATAGAGAGGATGGGACAGGATAGGTAAGGAAGATTGGGGGGTATTTAGACTCGGACTAAGGAAGGAGACCAAAGGATTTGATTCCTGAGACCAAGAGCCTCTCGCCATGTCAAGGAGCCCCTCCTGAAGAGGTATTATATCGGTAAATCAATAATCATATTAAAGGGTTAATTACTCTTACTTTATGCTAATGTGTAATCGAAAGCCTAGCCTTGACCCTGACCTCGAGCATATAAGGCGCAGGTTGATTTTCCAAGAATTTTTGTGGGAAGAAAGGCGCTCGTTATATGCTGGAAAATACGCTACTCTGAACTAGGAACAGGATGATACCAAAATTTTGGCCGATACCGATACCGTTACTTTTCCTACATTTGTTATTTTTAAAATTATAATCTCTTTATTCAGTACATAGGGGAATGGGTAATAAATAACACATGGATATTAAATAACTCCATTTCTCTGAGAAGATAATGTTATTACTCACTTCTTGGGCTGTTGTGTTAGTCTCTGCTTGTCAAAGACACTTGTCGATAGTGTGTGTGCGCGCTTGTGTATGCATGCTTGTACTCACCTAGTTGTGTTTGCAATGGCCGAATCATAGTTCCTGGCCCCACCTCTTCACTGGTCGCTACTGAGTCACTCATCCCGCTCCATAAGCGGGATCCTGGATCCTGCCTCCACTACATCACTTCCAAGACTATTCCACTTCCTGACAACTCTGTGACTGAAGAAATTCTTCCTAACGTCACTGTGATTCATCTGAGTCTTCAGCTTCCAACTGTGACCCCTTGTTTTTGTGTACCATCTCTGGAACATCCTGCCTCTGTCCACCTGGGCAATTTCTCTCAGTATTTTATATGGCGTTATCATATCCCCCTGATCTCTCCTGTCCTCCAGTGTCGTCAGATTGATTTCCCTTAACCTCTTCTCGTAGGGATGCCCCTTAGCTCCGGGACTAATCTTGTTGCAAACCTTTGCACTTTCTCTAGTTTCCTTACGTGTTTGGCTAGGTGCGGGTTCCAAACTGGTTCTGCATGCTCCAATATAGGCCTAACGTACACGGTATATAGGGTCCTGAATGATTCCTTGCTGAGGTATCAGAATGCCCTTCTTAGGTTTGCCCGTCTTCCTTAATCCATTGCAGTGCCTTCCCTGTTATTCCTGCCTTGTCCTCCAGCTTTCGCACTAACCTGTGTGGAACTGCTCCCTCGCCTCTGCTCCCTCTCTCATTACCCATGGAAAGATGTTATCCGGCCGTATCGCCTTTGAGGTATCCAGCTAACTTAGCAACCTTCTCACTTTTTCCTCAGTTGTATGTATTGTGTCCAACACTTGGAATACCTCACCTCTGTTTTTCATGAGTCCCTTCTGTCTCCTCTATGAATACTTTTTTTGAAACTTGTGTTGAGCCCCTCACATACTTCGCGGTCATTTCATGTGAACTCCCCCCCCCCCTTTCCTTCCTCAGCCTTATTACCTGGTCCCTGATTGCCGTTTTCCTCCTGATGTGGCTGCACAATAGTTTCGGTTCAAATCTGGCTTTCGCTATGTCGTTTTCGTATTGTTGTTGGGCCTCCCTTCTTACCTGTGCATATTCATTTCTGGCTCTACCACTGCTCTCCTTGTTTCTCCTGGGTCCTTTGCCTTCTGTACTTCTTCCATTCACTAACACACTTAGTTTTGGCCTCTCTACACTTATGGGTGAACCAAGGGCTCAACCTGGCTATCGCGTTATTTCTGTTACCCTTCGGTAGAAATCTGTCCTTATCTTCATTGCATATTGCTGTCACATATTCCATCATCTTGTATACTGACTTCCCTGCCAGTTCTCTGTCCCACTGAACCCCGTGCAGGAAATTTTTCATGCCTGCGTAGTCCCCTTTCTTGTAGTTTGGCTTCATGTGTCCGGCCCTTCCTGCTTCTCCTCCACTTGTAACTATTATATATTCGACACTCAGAACCATGTGACCACTGGCCCCAAGGGGTTTTTCTTATGTGATGTCCTCAATGTCTGCACTACTCAAGGTGGATACCAGGTCCAGTCTTGCTGGTTCATCCTCTCCTCTCTCTCTCTGGTAGTGTTCCTTACGTGTTGGTACATAAGGTTTTCCAGTACCACCTCTATCTTAGCCCTCCACGTTTCTGGGCCCCCATGTGGCTCTAGGTTCTCCCACTCAATTTCCTTGTGATTGAAGTCACCCACAATCAGCAGCTTTGCTTTGCACACATGAGCCCTTCTGGCCGCTTCAGCCAGTGTGTCAACCATCGCTCTATTATTCTCATCATATTCCTGCCTTGGAATCCTGCTGTTCGGTGGTGGGCTGTACATCACTCAAATTACCACCTTGGGACCTCCAGACTGAAAGTGTTCCTATTATGTAGTCTCTTGCTTATCTATCTCCTCTTTTCAACTCACCAAAATCCCATTGGTTTTTGATGAGCAGTTCCACTCCTCCTTCTCCCCCCCCCCCCCCGTTTCTCTCTCTTTTTCCTCAGGATCTGATATACCGTTGGAAAGATGGCATCTGTTATCATTCCTGTGAGCTTGGTTTCTGTGAGAGCTATGATGTCTGGTGATGCCTCTGACTCTTTCATGCCACTCCTCCCATTTATTCGTTATTCCACCAGCATTGGTGTACCATACCTTCAGTTTCCTCTCCAACACTGTGTTCTGGGTGGTCTGTGGGGATCTGGCAGTGTGCTATGGGATTTTACAGGGTACTATGAGGTGGTTGCTGTAAGTGTGGATTGTGGGTTGTGTTGGGGTTGTGTGTTTGGTTGTGGGATTCAGGGGGTGGTTCTGTGTTCTTGTTACTCTGCCCTTCTCTGGTTGTCCTCTGCTGCCTCTGTCCTTGTCTCTCGTCCTAGCCCCTTTCTTTTCTGTGTCTTTGTCTCAGTTGCTATCGTTCTGATCTTGTTCTGTTGCAATCTCGGAATACCCTCTTGTAAGCTGATGATTCCTTTAGTCGTGATTTCTCTTGCAGGATCCTGTTACACACCATTTCTGTCTTGAAAATCAGTTTGATTGGCAGATTTCTTCCCTTCAAGTACCCCGCCTATTCTCTGAAAATTTACTATATCAGTCATGTTCTCCTCGCCTATTTTTTTAATGTTTTCAGTCCTCCTCTCGCTCTCCTGAAGCTCATGAATAAACACTGACTTCTCCCTCTCCTCCTCTCATTGCCTTTCCCTCTGCCTCTGGGTCCAGTACGTGCATGGCCATTGTTTTTACCTGCAACTCTTGGTGGCATGGGTTGTGCCTCTGCATGGGACCTGTTCCCTTCTCCAGCTTCCCCCCCCCCTCCCTTACTGCTATCCCTGCTTCCAACAGTTGTCCCCCCTACATCCCTCGGCCCTGCTTGTTAAACTGATAGAGCCTTAGCGTAAGTCCTGTCTCATTCCTTATTGGGCTCCTCATTCAGTAGGAGTGTACCTGCTTCAGATCCCATGTCTCCTCTGGGCAATAGCCCTGTAACTTGCTTCAGCCTATTTATCCTCATGTTCTAGGGCCCATATCCTGGCTTCTGTGGCTTTGGCTTGTGACTCCCATTTCTTCATCTGTCTCCATCCTCTTCTCCATTATCTCAAAGTTTCTCTAGTTTGCTCTCCCACTTTTGTTCCATTCTTTTACATTGCCCTTCCATCCAGTCTTCCTAATGCGTGTGCATGCTGTGTGTGTGCTCGTGTGTGCATGGAAGTTTTAAAGGGGGGAGAGATGGGGAGAGGGAGAGGGGGGACAGGAAGAATGATGGGGGTGGAGAAAGAGTGGGAAGGGGGCTAGAGGGGCAGGGGCGGGAGGAAGGAAAAGAGTGGGGAATGAGGGGAGAGAGATAGGAGAGGGATGGGGGGACAGGGAGAATGACGGGGGTGGAGAAAGAGTGAGAAGGGGGCTAGAGGGAGACAAAAAGGAGAAGGGAGGGAGGGAGAAATGGGGGAGAGGTGGGGAGAGGTGGGAGAGGTGGGGAGGAGGGAGGGGGAGAGGGAGAGTGGTGTGAGTGGACAAAGAGTGGGTAGGGGGCTATCTATGTGTATCTGTGTACTCTCGTTCGTGTGAATGTGTTTGCGTGTATATGTGCATATGTAGATGTATGAAATTAACTCACAATCGTGAGGTAAAGTGTTAATGTTAATATTTTTAAGCACACACGTAATATTTTAAAAAGTTTCGGCTGGTATGGGCTGTTTTTTAACCGGTACCGATACCATAAAAATGACAAAAACCCGCCAGTTCCCATACGGATACTTTGGCACATGCGTCTAAACGCACAGAAGCAGTGAAAAAATATCAAATTACGATAACAGCAAAAAAATCATTTTTAAGTTGTAATTTTGTGACTGCAATTAAGTAGGATGTTTATCGCGAGCATAAATGAGGTGCGGCTCTCCACTGCTTCCTGCGCTGAATAACCACAAGGGTTTACCTCTTCACATAAATTACTAAACCTGGTTTTAAATAACGTACAGTATTAATGCCAGCTAAAATGATGCCTAGTTATTATTATTTGTAATATCGCGATCTTCAAAAACACACTTGCAGATACGGCACAAGACATTATTATTATTATCATTATATCCACAACATACAACCTCCCATAAATCTGAGAAAATTATCTGATTTCAAGTGGTTTAGTTACCTTATAAGTTCATGGAGCATGCAAGCTTCAGTGAAGGATCATCATTAAGACCTGCGTCAAGAAACAATTGCCCTATTTACTAACAACTAACCTAAGCTTAGGTGCCGATTCAGTCACAATACCAGGAGTTTATGGAGCAAACAGGTGGTGACTGGTAACCTTAAAGTGCATGAAGTAAGCAAACAGGTATTAAGACGGTCATATTATCTAAAGTTCATGAGGCAAGCAAGCTGTTACTGAGCCTGTGGTATCACCTGAAGTTCACAGAGAAAGCAGTTACTGAGCCTGTGATATCACCTGAAAGTTCATGGAGTGAGCAAGCAGGTCGAGCACTTGGATCATGGCGCCAGAGAAGATGAACCTTTGGCCAGTAGCGTCAGTCACTTCCTTCACTTCTATGTGTGGTGGAAACTCCTCAGCAGTCGCCTTCAGCCTGGGGCTCACCAGGAATCTGTAGCAACACAACTCATCAACAGCCGCTTAATTTAGTCCTAAAACCAGAAATTACGCTCATATGACTTCCTCTCCCCGCGCATCTCAAGGATTTCCTCACTATTCTCTTGACGGTAATGATAAACAAACCTCGGTTACATCTTTCATTTGCTAAAAGTAAGAGGAATCATAGTCCAAGAATCCCGGTCTCAGACATGGCCCCCTAAATTACGAAGGGAATTTGTACAATAATATTAAGAAACACAGAGGAAGGTAAAGATAAATGTATACTGATTGTCAATAGAAATTTGTACATTTTATCTTCCATTTACAAGTGAATGAAGCATATAGAAAAGACAAATAACTTATGGCGAAGTCAAAAACATATAACAGATACGTTTCACTCTCATACCACCTTTCTGTTTGATTACCATTAATACAGAAGACAGGTAAAGAAATTGTGCCTGTTGTAATATAAGCGTGAAACAGCACAGTATGACAGTGTCCAGGAATCAATAATCATGGCTATATTTCTATTTTATATTTGCCTTCCGAAGTCCGCCATTGTAAAACATGGCTGCTATAAATGCTTTATCACGGGCATGAAAATTACTTTGCTAAATATTTATAATATTAAGGCGATCAAAAATACTTTCAGTGTTGGAGGTTTATTTACGTTTACTGCAACTGTCATTAACACACGAATTGAAGACGAAATATTTTTCATGTTACGTTGAAATTGGATATTTTTTCCTCTACCTTTGTACATTTAAAGTTCCTTCCTTGCTTCATTAACATGTTGCTCACTGCTGGTTCGGTCATATAGCAAGACAACAAATCGCTCGTGACTGAAGAGATTACTATACAGCGGAACCTTGACTTACGAGTGTCTCAGCGAACGAGTTTTTTGAGATACGAGCCGTCCCTGGATCGATTTTTTCCTCTGAGTTACGAGCCAACATTTGAGTTGTGGGTTTGGTCAACCACCAAAGGCATATAATGCAGAGATGACGACTCTATAAGCATTCCAAGCATCTCATTCAGTGATTTTAACTATTCTTCCAGAAAAATGTGTGGAACATTGGCAGGAAAATATTTAATGATCAACACCTATATCACTTGCTGTCTCAAGAGTAGCAAGGTAGCCGGAGATCTCAACACTTAATACAGCCCACAGTGCATTAACAATTAGGCCCTGTGCTGATATTATTATTATTATTTATAATCAAAAAGAAGCGCTAAGCCACAAGGGCCATACAGCGCTGCAGGGTAGGGAAGGAAGCGAGGGTATTGGGCGGCAGAAGGAGGGAGGGAGGATCAGTAGGTTACAGAAAACAGCGGGGCAGGGGATAGTTTGGGGGTAGAGGGTAGCAAGAGATTGAGGTAGAAATGGCTGACGGTATCATCAGAGTTTGTGAAGTAAGTCAGTTGTTGTCAAAAAGTCAATGAGAGAATCTGGATGAAAGGTGGGTCCATCAGCAAGAAGGGAAGGTAAAGAGAGAGCAGCGGAGCGAAGACGACGACGGAGGTAAATTCTGCGTGCTCGTTGATAAAGTGGGCAGTCTAACAGAATGTGGCTGTTCGATAATGGAACCTGACAATTCTCAGAGAGGAGCAGGGCGCCTTTCCATGAGATATCCATGAGTAAGACGAGTATGGCCCAACCTCGACACTGGTGACAAGAAGACGGCCAGTAACCTATACTCGGTTTAATAGATTGAAGTTTGTTACCGAGCAGAGTAGACCAGCGTTGTTGCCAACGGGTGTGAAGGTGGGTAGCTATTGCAGTAAAATAGTCCGTAAATGGAACACCTCTATATGAAACTGGTAGGTCATGTAGTGCTGACCGTGCAGCAGTGTCTGCCTGTTCATTGCCCTGTACGTCAACATGACCCAACAAAAAACAATATCTTTATGCTTGGTAGAGATGCGGCATAGCCAAAGTTGGATACGGAGGACTAAGGGGTGAGATGTATCAAATTTCTATATAGCCTGTAAAGCACTAAGGGAGTCTGAGACAACCACAAATGATGACACAGGCATAAATGCAATACGGATAAGTGCTGCAAGAATGGCATACAATTCAGCAGTAAAAATACTAGCCGAAGATAGTAAATTCCCTCGTACGACACTGTCCAGAAACACTGCTGCGAATCCTATGCCGTCAGAAGACTTAGAGCCATCTGTGTACACTGCAATGGCATGAGAATGAGAGTGGAAGTGGTCAAAAAAAAAAAACAAGAGAGCGGGAAGCTACCGTAGACAGTTGGGCTTTCGAGCAAGGGAGTGAGAAAGAACAGACTCGAACAGCTGGAACTTCCCAGGGGGGTAGGGAAAAGTGAGATGCTACTTGAACATAGAAAGGTGGAAACTGAAGAGAAGACAAGAGCGAATGTAGGCGAAGAGAGAAGGGACGGAGCAAACAATGGCGGCGAACAAATAAAGAATGTCTACTAATATCGGTGACCATTCCATAAATGGAAGGATTGCGGAGATCATGAGAGCGTACATAGTAGCGAAGGCAATGGGCATCACGGCGATCGGATAAGGATGGAACGTTCGCTTCTGCATAGAGGCTCTCAACAGGGGAAGAGCGAAAAGCACCAAGGCGTAAACATAATCCTTGGTGATGAATGGGGTTAAGGCTAGAGAGAGTAGCAGGAGAGGCCGCTGAATACATCTGGTCACCATAATCAAGTTTCGATAAAATGAGAGTGGAATGTAGGCGAAGGAGAGTTCGACGATCAGCTCCCCAAGAAAGATGAGCAAAGGTTTTAAGAAGGTTCAGCCGGCTGTGACAAGTTGCCTTCAGAGAGGTAATGTGAGGTTTCTAGGATAACCCACGGTCAAAGAGGAGGCCTAGAAATCTGACTGTATCACGTTCAGGGATACGGGAGCCATAGAGGTACAAAGGATGATTGGAGATGACAGAGCGTCTAGTGAAAGTAATTGGGCCACCACCCATATGTGGTGGCCCAATCGGAAACACGGTCGACCGCATGCTGGAGAGAAACTGTAATGAGGTGACAGTCAGCGCCTGCACAGGCAATAACGAAGTCATCAACATAGAGTGATGACCAAATATTGTATGGAAGACTAGATGCAAAATCATTCATAGCAAGGAGAAAAAGTGTTGTGCTCAGAACACATCCCTGTGGGACACCTTCAGCTTGGATAAAGTCCGGGGAGAGCACATTACTAACCCGAACACGGAAATGTCTGTCAGTTAAAAAGTTCTTAAGGAAAGATGGTAGATTGCCTTGGAGGCATAAGGAGTGGGCTTGGGCCAAAATATTATACCTCCAAGTTGTGTCATATGCCTTCTCAAGATCAAAAAATATGGCAATAACTGAGTGGTTATTCGCAAAGGCATTACAAACATACGTATCGAAGCGTAGTAAGGGGTCTATGGTAGAACGGCCATTACGAAAGCCATATTGACGAGTAGAGAGACTGTCTCTAAATACTACACTAAACGTCTATTTACTAGGCGTTTCATCACTTGCAAACTGCACTGGTAAGAGCAATGGGACGATAGTGTGAGGTTTCATGTCCCGTAGTGCCTGGTTTGCGGAAAGGGAGAACAATGGCAGATTTCAACAGCTGTGGAAGAACTTGTGACCAAATAAGATTGAAAAGGCGTAATAGGACTGCAAGGGCTGACTGATGTAAATGTTATAGAATACGAATATAAATGTCGTTGGGCCGAGCTGCCGATGATCGGCAAGCTGAGAGTGTTGCCTCCAGTTCCTGAAGTATAAAAGGCACATTATACTGTTCTTCTCTGAGAGAAGAATAGTCTAAGGGTGCTAACTCTCTGGCAGACTTTGAGGAAAGAAACGAGGGACATAGATGGAGCCCCTGAGAAATACGGACCAGATGATTGCCAATTTCATTGGCAACATCTAGTGGGTTTGCTATATCAACACCGGCAATCCGCAGAACAGGAGCCAGGTCAGGAGAATATTTACCACTCAGTTTTCGTACTTTTTTCCAGACTGCACTCATAGAGGAAGCAAAGGTGATGGTGGAGACAATCTTGCCAGCAAGTGCATTTAGCGTCACGGATGACACGGCTAGCGATCGCACGCTTCTGCTTAAAATCAAGAAGTCTCTCCATGGTTCAATTGTACCGGTACCAGCCCCACGCAGCGCGTTTCAAATGTACTGCACGGGCACAAGTACGAGACCACCAAGGCACGCATTTCTGAGAATGCCTGCCTGAAGTTTGGAGTATGGAATTAGAAGCTGCGGATAAAACGGAGGACGAGAAGAGGTGTAAAAGCTTATCAATGGAGGACGAAGAAGGAACCTCACTAAAAACAGTTAGTTGTGAGTAAAGGTTCCAATTTGCCTGATCAAATTGCCAGTGTGGGTTACGAAGAGGTGGTGAATATGAAAGGGAAGTAAGAACGATTGGAAAATGATCGCTGTCATGTAAATGCGGCGGAGGAAGAGCAGACAGAGATCGATGCAAGAGAGGGTATGAGTCCGAGGATCAAAATGGGTGTGAGTACCTGTATTGAAAACATGGAGGGGGTGGGTAGCAAGTAAAGCCTCTAACTGAGTGCCACGGGAATCACAGTGAGACCCCAAAAAGAGGATGGGATAGATAACAGCAGAGTGTAATTTTGGTTCCTGTAAGCAAACACCAACTGGGGAAAACTGGGAGAGCAACATCTGAAGCTCACCCCAATTACTCCTGAGGCCGCGTATATTCCACTGTAAATAGGCCATGATTGGCAACGATAAAGATACCTGAAATCCTCAGGTAAGGGTACCTACGGACTAGTGGGGTTAAAAAAGTCCACATGCGGTGGCAGCGGAAAACGTTCAAGCAGCGATGGAACAGTGCGCTGTGAAGAAATGAGTTGCGCAGGTGGAGAAGAGGAAAGAGAAGGAACAGAGGGTGGATCAGTGTCCATTGATGGTTTGGTCTCTGCAATATATTCAGAGATTGCTCCAACTGTTTCAGAGTTCAGAGACATCGTATGAGAGACAATATTGGAGATGCAAGGA